CGCAAGCACAGGTCTACTTTTTTTTTTTTTTTGCGCCCGAAGCAATTAAAGGGCTACCCTATACGTAGGGAGGCGGAAAATGCATTACGCATACCACGATAGCCGGTCTATCGTGGTTATGAGGGGCTCACTGTCCTACCGGGGACCCTAAGTGATACCCTCTAAAAACCGCCTTTTGGGACAGGCAACCGGCTGATCAAGCTCTATTGTGCCTTATCATGAGCGACCCTCTTTTGGGAAAAGAGGGCGCAGGCGGCTAAGTGCCGCTGAGGGAGTGCCTACGAAGGCAAATTAATGTTAGTTATTACAACAATTTAATTTAATTAGAGTTGGCCTGAGCCGCCAGGAGACAGTTCAGGTCGTTTGAAAGTTTATTAGGCGGGTCCGAGAGAGAGTTTCTCGGCCTGCGGACACGATAGCGAGAGGGGGGTGGGGCTGCATAAGAAGCTGCCTCACGAATTAAATGGTTTGGGTGCGACTCTGAGGCTTTGAAGAAGTTCTCAGAGAGTTTTTTAAAAAAGTGTTGAATTGTTGGGAGCTCTAAGTCCCGATGAAGGTCGGCATTACGAACGTACCAAGGTGCGTTCGCAGCTCGACGACAGAAGAGGTTCTGAACTATTTGGAGTTCATTTAAAATGTTAGGGTTTGCGTGGGCAAAGACGGGGCCCGCGTAGGACATGTTGTCAGGACAACAGAAAAAAAAAACACAGGTCTACCCTACTCTCTCACTCTTATAGTGCGATGTAACAGTAATCCGAGACGACGGGAGAGAGATCAGGCGCAGGACCCACGGCTTTACGGGCTTCCGGAGGCACGGTGGTGAAACCCCGCCAACTTCAATAAGTTCGAAATCAATATTCCGGGCTGCTACTGAGAATTTTGTGACAGAAAAACCCAATAAATGATTCTTGGCCCGACTCGGGTTTCGAACCCGGGATCACATGATCAGCAATTGCGTTTACAACGTTACCAAGAAGACAGTCATAAGTGTTAAAACTATAATAATTTTAAAGGTATATCGTCCAGAAAATCTTGAATAACATCTATATATATAAATATATATATATATATATATATATATATATATATATATATATATATATATATATATATATATATATATATAGCTTAAATCTTCTGAAAAACTTGGTTGAATACTCAAAGGTGGACATCGTAAGAGGCGACTTAGGGGTAACAAATCAGAAGATCGGCAGCAACGACATCCAAATAACAACTAAAAATACAACACTCAAGTTGCCAACCCGTTTGCCAAGCCGTGGCAACTATGGCATATATCTCCCCTACGAGGCAATCTCTGGGGGAGGCCTATGTTCAGCAGTGGACTTTAATAGCCTGTAACAGTAACCGTGAGCTCGATTATGACAATCTCTACAAAAAAATGCCTTAAATGTCATTTATATATAAAAGATAATAATTTCGTACAAAATACTACGGTTTCGAGGCAAATACAATACAGACAGTGTTTGTCATCCATGCCAAAAACGTTTGGCTCAAGATCATAATGATTAAGTAACGGTGTAATTCAAGATCAAGGTCAAACTTTATTCTCCTTCCGCGAATTTGATCCACCACTGCGGTATATAGGCAATAAATTAATATGAGCAGTAGGTATATGGCTATAATATGGTCCGTATAGATTAAAATGTTCTAGCGATCAAACCTGGTTACTAGTAGTAATAGGTTACCAGTAGTGTACTATGGGTTCGATTCCCAGTGAGAGGCCAAAATTAATGTTTGTAAGGACAGTATGTGTTATGATTGTCCCTACTCATATATCTCTGACTTTCTAGTACTTATTCTATAAATTATGAATTATTTTAATCACATTTAAGTTACAGTAGCCTAGTGGTTAAGGCTGCGGCCTCCAAACTATGAAAGTCGTAGGTTCGAATCCGCCTTTCGCCGTCCATCTTGAACTACTCTAGTAATCGACTAATAGGTCTCTAACTAAGTACTCTTTACTAACTCTCGACTAATACTCGAACAAATCGTATACTCGTTATCTAATCTAATTTCTTCTAAAGCGAGCATTTCAATCTTAGAGAGGTTAAGAAGAGAAATAGTAATGTTTACAGATGCTACTAGTAGGTATTCTTTAATTTATTATTTATTTTTTAAATATATATTTTTACCACAAAATTTTAGTGTTTGGTGATTGCGTGTAGCCAGAGTACCAGGCTAGTAGGCTCCTGGCTTTAGTTCAAATCCAAGCAGAAACCAATATTTGTAGTACAAATCACAAAGGTTTTCAAGTCTGCTTTTTGCTGCGCCCGGTTCTAACACTAACCTTACCTACCTCCGATGTAATTACCGTCTTAGGTAGGGTAGGGGCCTCTCCCCTGTGTCTTTGTGTTAACTTATAAATTTGCCTCGCTCTCATAATTCCTGCACCAGTTGATAGCTTCCTAAAATAATTTACCACTTTATACATTTACAGTAAGTAAAAGAGTTTATTTTACAATATATTCAATGTACCATCTTGTATGACACTAAACTCTGCGGTCAAGTCATTAATATGATGGTTGAAATAAACCAGGCGACGTCAAACAGCTCTGCTTCACATCGCACTCGAGCCTGTATTCATCAGAAAGGTAATTTGTCCATTTCAACTGTAAGTACAATACAACCAAGCCAGTGCCTCACCTTGTACTCGACTTGTGACTCACCCGATAAAGACGTGAAAACATGCGTGAAAACGTTTGTAATCCTAAGTTGAAGGTATGTTGCAATAAACGATTTTTTATAGATTAAGGGTGACAAGCGAGCACACAGTCCATCCGATGGTAAGTGGTTGCTGTGGCCCATGGACATCTACATCTATCCTGGTTTATGAATCAAAATGCAGATGCGTTGTCAGCCGTGAGGACTAAGATAGAATGCCTCTTTTTCACTAAAAAGGGTTTCCGGTTCTTTACACTCACCATACGAAATACAGCAGAATTATGCTGCTTTTTTACGCTGGTATTCTGTGAGAGCGTGGTCCTACCCCAGTCGAGCCGACCCATTCATGTTACAATTATACAATTAATATAGCTGAAGGATGGCTCCACCACTTAATATTAATTTTCTTTTTAGTTTTGTCCAAGAAAAAAAGCTTAGGTTTTTAGCTAAGTGATTCGACGTCAGAATACACAGTTTTATCTATCTACGTTGACACAATTTAAGCTTAGACATAAAAATCTACAGTAATATACACAATAAAGATATTGTTTATATTACAGCAGTAATATACTTATATAAAATATATATGTATTACAGTAGATTTTTGGTTTATATGAAAGTCTACCAACCTGTAGTCATTCTAAAAATTAACTTTGCAATTCTATGAATCGGCGCATCGTACTTACTCCACTCTGCAACACATTCGCTTTCGCTAACAGATGTACTACCGCGGTATCTCTTAGAATGTTAACAGCATTAGTATACACAAATAAACTATCGGCACAAGAATTCATAGCAGGTGAAGAGTCTATCGGCCTTATTATAAAATGTAACTAGTTTATGTTTAGGTTTAAACGAGAGCCTGTTTAATGAAAGAAGTTCCCGCGGAAATATGCTAATTAGCATATAAAGTATTTTTATAGAATAAGGATGACAAACGTGCACACAGTCTACCCGATGGTAAGTGGATTAGTGGATGCTGTAGCACATAGACGTCTGCATTTATCCTCAATAAAGTATCAAAATGCAGATGCGTTGTCACTCGTGAGGGCTAAGATGGAATGCCTCGTTTCCAGTAAAAAAGGGTATTCGGTTCTCTACACTCACCATACGAAACAAAGCAGCATATGCTATTTTACGCTGGTATTCTGTGAGAGTGTGGTCCTTCCCCGGTCGAGCCGACCCATTCGTGTTACAACCACAATATAGCTGACTCTACCAAGTAAAAAGTATAGAATTTTAGCCGCGCCCAAGGATCTTCTTTAGTTAGGACTTCTAAAATCATAATTTAAAAACAAGACTAAGGATAAACATAAACACTCACGACTGTCACCCAGAGGAGTAGGCAGAGACTACAGACTTCCATTAAGCACGATCCTGATACACCTCTCTCACCTCCTCCACATCCTTTACATACGCATACATGCTCATAGGTTAAGGGTACTCCTGATTTGGCCCATTTTCAATAAATCGCCAATTTGGTCGATAAAGTTTCGTCTAGGACGTCCCTTTCCGACTCTGCCATTCACTTCTGCAACATAAATTTTCTTTGTCACTCTTTCCTCATTCATTCTTTCCACATGACCAAACCACCGAAGCATTACTTTCTTAATCCTGGTCACAACATCGTCTTGCAAACCACACTCTTCTCTTATCACACAATTTCTCACCCTGTCATTCAGATTCAGTCCTAATATACTCCTTAACGACCGCATTTCTACTGCGTTCATCGTACTCTCGTGCTTCTTCTGCCACACCCAACTTTCACTACCATACGTTAAAGTAGGAACCAACACAGCATTGTGAATTGCCATTTTCGACACATTTTGACTCTTCACAATAGAGTGCAGGGCCCCATTTACCCTATTTCCTGCATTCACTCGTCGTTCTATATCCTTATCATATCTCCCATCCCTGCTAAAGTTTATGTGTACATGGCCCCACCATGAAACGGCACCGGGTCTGGGCGTCTTCCGTTATATGACGCCCAACACTATGGATGATGGAATACGGAAGAATGCGCAAAGGGCCGCTGCCTGGAGGTCGCCAGGGCGCGTCTGGAGCTGGCGCTGGACGCGACAGCATGCGAACCGCCAGCCGAGCGAGAGGTGCTGCACGACCACCCATCAGCCCCTCGCATCCATTATCCCCACCAGCTGGCTTGGTGTCGGCAGGGTCTTTGAGAGCCCAGCAATCGGCACCCGCCACTGGTGGAGTACGCCGCATGCGATGGACAATCGAAATGAATACCAACGCACTGCGAGTGTATTTTTAGGGCGAAAGGGGGAGAAGTTGGAGGTTTGGCGTATCGGGCTAGGATGCATCGGCTTTTTGCTGAACTGGAGCCATCTTTAACCGTCACAAAGCAAAACCTGGCAAACCGAGTTCGGTATATCTTGCGCTCAAATATATTTGATGTTGCCGAACTCGAACGGATACGACGTGAGGCTGTTCCCTCATCGGATGAAAATGCTACGGCTGAGGATGCGGCGCCACAAATTGCAGAGCAACCCGCAAACGTGGATGCCGCCGTGAATACCCCAGTTGTAGTTGATTCAAACGATGATGGAACAGTCGCCCAGGAACTGGAATTAGAGCATATGAGGTGAAATATGTGTTTCATAAAGTGTGTTTATGTTTATATTTACTAAGGATAAACCACGAAAACGATAATTTATTAATAAAATACAGTGATAATATAAATATATGAATACAATGAGCCTATGTATTGTGATAGCACAGCAAAATGACAATAGAGATCTATGTTGGAATTGGAAAAATGGTTTATACGTACCTACCCAGCCGTAATATAGGAAAACAAAATGCTATCGCCTAGTAAAATATAAGAGAATAAAGTATAAGTAATATGTAGAGTTGAATTATCATATATTGTGCATAGTAGAGTTCGTAGCGACTAGTTTTGACTCTACATAAAATCTTATTCAACTAACTTTATAAAGAACTAAAGATTTTTAAGATTTAGCTTGTTAAACAAAATGTGATGTAATAGTAACTGACGATATGATTAAATAATACTAATTATACACGTGGTAGAGCGACGTTGCAGCTGTATTGTAACTGTAACATGAAAGGGTCAGTTTCAACGGAGGTGCACCACGCTTTCACAAGATACCAGCATGAAATAGCAGCGTAAAGCTGCTGTGTTTCATATGGTGGGTAACTAGAATTGGACACTCTTTAGTGACAGGGTATTCCATTTATACAAATCTTTAAATGTTTAAGTTTTGATTATACTATAGTTAATATATAAGTTGTGTTTGCTTTTATTTTTTGGCGTTACCTTATTATTCTTTTGTATTTATTTTAGAGCTTTACATGGTAAGTATGTTTTATTTTATAATAGCGATTAGCCTCGGCGATTGTGGATTCTAAAACAGCGTTTACCCTGTCCAACTATGCCTTAACCTTAGCGGAAGTGCAAGCAATATGTCGACAAAGTTTTACCGCAATCTGATAAACGGTATGGATATAATAATAATTAGATTTGCAAGCATAAAAATTAGATTTACAAGTTGGTTTTTCGTCCGTCCGAAATTGTCAGGAGTTTATATAATGCATGTAATATTTAAAATTCATATTTCATATTACGTTTTTTTAATGTGATGGAGCCACGCTGTCGCTCATTATGACTGTAGCGACCGGGTAAGGACCACGCTCTCACAGAAAAGCATTGCAGTTAGTAGTGTGTGAGCGTAGAAAACCGGAGACGCGTTTTACTGGAAACGAGGCACTATATCTTAGTTCTCTAGGGGTGACAACGTATCAACATTTTGATTCTTAATCGAGTATAGAAGTAGGTTGTCTATGTGTCACAGTACCCACCTGCCTTCAGATTGACTGTGTGCTCGTTTATTGTCTGTATTCTATAAAAAATATATTATTTATTTAAACATTACTTTCGATTGCTTATTTTATTACTCAAAACGAAATTATTATTATTATTATTATATAAATAATAGTCATGTTATTTATAATTGCTACATTGATCCCATGGTGTAGAACTACAAGAGTGAGACTTTAAAAACATCTGAGGATTGAGAATGATTGTTGTAATTTTGTTGAAAAGAGACGTCGGTCGAGACCCGTTTGTAACCAATGTACTAGTACGAGTATATATAACTCTGCATACTGTGGAGTACGTTTTACATCTCCTATTTGGAAAAAAGTACTTAGAAGGAGAATACGTCAAAGAACAAAGTCGATGCCGAATAGTGAAACCGATCTCTATATTTTGCAACGTCTGTAATTTAATGAATTTCAAATACGACATACTCTATGTTCCCACAAAACACAATAAATACATTCCTCGCCCCCGATTTCGTGCTCTCTGGGGTACAAGATTACCGGTACAGGGACATGCCAAAGAAGAAAGTTGCCTGAATAGTTGTTTTTTGTTTTTATATATTTTTAGGCTACAAATCATAGTACCCACCTACTATGATTTATTATGTGATTACAGTATACCTATATTGCTTTGGGCCAATGCTCTTAATTTTGAGGTCCTTGAGGCCTGAAATTAAAATATCTACATTCTACATATTGTATTGTAATCCTTTAGATACTAATAGAAACTTAAAAAAACAGTTTTGATACCTACATAGTCGGTAACAGAATATTTTTCACGTCTGTTATAATTAGGTCACTTTTTTATATATGTAATGTGGTATGTGACGTTAAAATATTTCTTAAGATATACGGAATAATTACCTACTGAAAATAAAAGTTGTGATAGCATTGGAATTTTTAATTACATTTCATTACTAATAATTTTATCTAAACCAATCATGAAATAGTGTGGTAAGAATGTGAAGGTCGATAGTATTGCTATTTTCTTCTAGATAAGGGCAGGTACAGAACCGTCAAGATGTTCAGTAGACGGTATTGTTATGACCGTTAAAGCCAATTATGCAAGCTTCACGATTGCAAGTAGACGAACGAACGGCTAGCACAATCGACGTTGCTGCGTCGCGTTGTACTTGTCGAGGTCATTCGAAAATCGATATCGATACTTAAATTTATTTTTTTACATTTTGACTTAAATTTTAAATACGCATGTGCTATTTAATTTTGTCATACAATTTAACAAACTAATACCAATAAACTAATGTTACTTTTTACATTAAGTCATAAGACCGATTGCTTAGTCAGTCAATTATACACAATGCACAATAATTCAGATAAATGTAGGTATTTAATATTACAATGACGCGTATTAAGTACACCTTTATTAATGTAGCGTTTGAGCTGTCCGAAATCTATTCCTTTTAATAGGGCTGAACAACAAATTTAATAACAGAAACTATGGAGTTGCCTATAATTGAGCTGAAAAATATGTATTAGGGTAATGGCGAATCGACTAGAATCGAATCGAGCTGATTAAGAGGGATGGTCAAAAAAGTTTTTTGTCACTTATTGAAAAAGATGCTTACAAATACTTGACGGCATGGATCATGAGTCCAAATAATTATTGATCTTAATGTTAGTTCAAAACAGAAATAACTGATTTAAATTCATGGATATGAAATAAAATGAAATAGCTTTATTTATTCGATTCTAATATTTTGAAAAAAACTAATGAGTGGGTTGCAAATTTTACTATCAAGTTATACGTTTTTCTTTTTACAACTATTTGTTGTTAACTTACAATTCTCGACCAAATTTGTGGACCTACATAAAATATTTTTTTATGATTGTTTGTCGATAACGCCGATTTCTTGCACGGTGAACATCACTTACGTTCATGTTTCATTGTCGTCAGTGGAAAATTCCATTATAAAGTGTGTAATGTTCGCCTGTCTCTTTCTTACGCATGTAAAGAGGGGTAATAGTATCTCTCTTGCTTCGCCTTAACGCAGCACTGTGACCTAAACAATTTGTCTCGCTCTATCTTAAGCGTCTGCTTATATGTTCTTCTCTATCCTTTGGGGCAACTTAACGTTCTATTTTACGAATAGCTCTGTGCTATGTATACTTCTCGGTCGTCGGCCAAATGATTTTTGTTGCCTGTCTTTCTCTAGAGCTTGAATGATTTGTTTCTTTGATGCAGAGCAGAGAGCTACAGCTTCAAATCCAACAAAATACTATACTACGTCCACGTGCTCGAAAGGTTAACGACTGATAAAACAGATAACCAATATAAATAAACAATAACTAAATCGTTTAATATAATAATTGTACGAAGTACATATAAAGATTTACCTATATAGGTCCGCGATAGAATCGGTTAATTGGTTTTCTATCCTTTACTTATTTGCCTAGGTACACAACGTAATGGAAAAAAATTATGCATTTAACTTAATAAGCTATACTATTTTGCAGTAGTTTTTGGAAAATATACACACTATTATCAGTGTATATATGTTTATTAACCCATTTTAATTATGTAAACACCTTAAATGTGGGTTTTGTAAAGGTATTCATTATTGTTATTAAATGTATTATATAAACAATGACTAATTTAAAGACTCTATTGGGTAGAAAGGCATTGATTCAAACATTGTAAAAAATCATATTTGGGCTCGGAAAAATAAACATACATTTGCAATTTTAAAGTAAATGTTCCTTTGGCTTAAAATTTATGTCACGAGTTCGAGAAACTTCTAGATCATTTAGGGCCCTCGAGTATTGTAGAAACGGTCATTCGTGACATTATTGCTTTCATTGATTTAAGAGGTTTCATTGCTGAGCATTATAACTCGATAGAAAACGATAATGATGTAGGTACCTACTTACACAGAATAAATAAAAGTACAACTAGTACCTATTTATCATTTTAAGCAAACTACTACTTTAGTATCTTATTAATATTCTTAGAACTACCTAGGTTCTAAGAACCCTAAGTATAGAAAAAAATTAACTCGATGTTTTTACAATAACAAAAAGGAAAATTTCTTTGTTTCTTTCTTTTTTGTTTGAATCCCTATCCACCGATAGCTATTTTATACATTAAACTACCTGTGCCGATAACCTAAAATAAATTGGCAGACTACATTTTTGCTTGAACACTTTTGAAGTTATTAATAGCATTTTAAATTCTCTTACAATAATTTCAAACTAGAAATAATTTTATTTACAAAATTCAAAATAACAGTAAGATAGATAAATGCTAAAATTAGAAATAAAAGTAAGCGTGTTTATATAAAAAACTGATTAAAAATAATAAGGCAAAAGTATTCAGATTTCAGACAGTAATTTTATTTTCGTTCAATGCGAAATATGTGATGTTATGACGTCACAGGCGACGCCACAGCCGCGCAACGAGAGTTGTTAAATTTACCCAGTCCGGAATTTGACAGACGTGTGCCCATTGTTTCTTACGGGAGAATTTGTATCTAATCAAATCGCATGTTTCAAGAAATTTATTAAAATTAATTTATATCTATTGGGTGAGGAAGACGTCCTGTTACTATGTTTTAAAAAACTATTGTTACTACATTAAATAAATATTGTTCTTTACACGTATTAGTAGGTAAGCTTTAAAGTTACAAATAGGCCAGTATATAGGTAAATCATGACATTAAAACTTCTAATTTCCATTTCTTTACAATTGTAAGGCCTGTAGCCCTATAAATGTGACTGCTGATTTTAA